CTGGAGGCTGGAGACCAGCGCAGGTCTTTGTCTCCACCCCACTCCCCACAGTGCCCCTTAGACCCGGAGCGTCCCGGGGCCCAGGTCTCCCCGGCTTTTAGCAGAGCCAAGGGCCTCGGTTAGGTCTTTGCCCCAGGACTCTCCGTAACGGCCCCTAGCTGCCCGGCCAGCTCAGGTGCAGAGCCTGAGGCTCTAATTCCACGGGGGAGCCCAGCGTTTCCTTTCCTGCCGTAAGCTGAGCGTTCTTTCCCATCTTGAAAGTGTTCATTTTAATAGCGTTTTTCTTTTTTATATTTATGAGCCCTCAATAAACTACTGAAACATGCCCAAAATGATAAAAGAGAAGGTGACACTACCCGTGACCCCAGGGCCGCTGAGCCAGCGGATCACCTGGGGCCCATTCCCCCGGCGCTTACCCTGGTGGGGGGAGGTCCTCGCCTCGGTCATTCGCTTTGCCAGAACCCTTTGGAGAGAACTCCGTTCCGCAGGTAGAGACATTTTTCCCGGGTAAAATGGTGGCTCAGTCCTGGGCATACTCTTCATATTTAAATTTTAGTATGTAAGGTGTCCCCCCAAAACGTATTCACACTTAGCTGATAGCTCAATTGATCTCTTTCTTCTTTCTTTCTTTCTTTCTTTCTTTCTTTCTTTCTTTCTTTCTTTCTTTCTTTCTTTCTTTCTTTCTTTTTTAATCCATTGGAATTAATAATTATTCAAAATGTTTATACATTTTTTGGCACATCCTGTATACATTCGCATAGTAACTTATGGGTACACTCAGTGCAAGAAATCGAAATTATTAGATTTTTTAAAAATATTTTTATTGTGTTAAGTGTGTGTGTGTGTGTATATATATATATCTATCACGTTAAATTTGCCATTTTAACCATTTTTAAATGTACAACCCAGTGGCATCAGCTACATTCACAATATTGTGCAACCATTACCACTATTTCCAAACCTTTTCCATCACAATAATCTCTTTACATTTTAAAATGCACCCCGGGGCAACTCCCCTACCGGGTCCCTACCCCAACAGTCCAAACCCTCGTCTGTGACAGTTTCCTTCATCTGAACTATATTTCATGTATCCAATTCCCAGAGGGATCCCGGGATCCTGGGCTGGTAGATTCAGGATCCACAACCTGGTAGCTTCCCGCCAGAGCTGGTTCCAGCAGTGCCACGGGTGCACTCGTGGCCCTTAGGGGCAGAAAATAGTAGGCGGAGGGAGAAAAACCAACCTCAGCAGCGACCACGAAGGGACTTGAACCCTCAATCTTCTGATCCGGAATCAGACGCCTTATCCATTAGGCCACGCGGCCCTGTGAAAAAAGTGCTGTACAGCTTTTTCCATAAAGCTTGTCTAGGCGCCTGCGTGGTGTGCAGTAGTAATGTTCGTGCGCAG